CTTTGCTTTTGTTTTTATCTCTCTGTGTGTGTGTGTGTCTGTGTGTGTGTGTGTGTGTGTGTGTGTGTGTGTGTATGGGGGTTGGGGGGAATCAGAAATGATTTCTCTTTCTTTTACTCTTCTGGAGCTCCCAGTTTGTTAATCGTATTAAGTAGGTAAATACAGTGTTCCTGATTTGTGGAATGGTTAAGAGAGAAAGAGAAAAATGACATTGTTTAACATTGACGTGCTACATGGAAAACTAAAACATGGATTTTGTTTTCTATTAGGACTATTGCAGCCGTCTGGAAGTGCACCTGTATCTTTATGCATTTTATTGTACAATGAATACTGATGTTGATTGAAGAACACACTCATTTTTGAAAGGAGTTTAGAGGATATTGATTTTCAAATTAAGCATGCACACACACACACACACACACACACACACACACACACACACGCCCCAAATGAATAGCTCCTTCTCAGGTAAAACCAACATATTAAAATGGGGTTTTCCTTAAAGAGTAGCACACTGTGGTGTTTTATATAAAATAATGGGCTCTGCATATTGAGAATCAGAGTCCTGTCTTTCCATGAAAACAACAAACTGTCCCAATTTGTTTTGCAAATGTGAAATGTAAATTTATCCTGTGCTAGAAGTAGATTTAGAAAGTTTTATTTGAAAGAGGTTAGTCCTTTGTGTGTTTGTGTATATTTTTAAAAGAATTAACTGAGTAAATAATTAAAGTGTTTCATTTTAATACTGAAAATTTTTAAACGTGAAAATGAATATAGACATTTCTCTATTAGTTTATAAACTTTATTTTTTCTATGAGCTATGATACATTAACTTTTATTATAAGATTATTGCTAAAAATATTTTAAATTGAAGAAATAGTGGTTGTTTTATAGTAAGAGATAGGTTTGAAATAATTTTCCAGCTGAGGCATCCATTTGGGGACAAAAAGAGAGGAGAAACTTTAAAAATGATTATAATACCAATTTCAAATAAAATCAGATTTTACGGATGATCCAGACCATGTTTAAATCAAGGTTCAAAAAGATGTGAGTTGGTGTGTTAATGGTTCTTATATGATAGTGTCTGTGACTTGGAGAAAAGATGCATAAAAGCAAATATTTTGATTTTCACTTTGTTTCAAAGATGAGGTTGGAAGGATGAATTAATCACTTTTAGGTAATGCTATGAGTGGTGTAATCCTTATTTTTCTGACCTTAATTTATGTTAAGTATTCAAGAGCTGAATATTTTATTCATTTTAAGTTCTATAAGCTAGAATGAACACTCTTTAATACATAAAACTGGAGTCACAGCTGTCTCTTAAACTTAAAAATGGTGTATGACTTAATCAAGATGATAGATTTATAACATTACCATTAAAAGTGATTGAGAAATTGATTTGTATATGATAGCAATCATGCTCTTTAACTTATAGCTTCAAACTTTTTAATTCATAAGTGATACTATTATTTTTTTTAAACCTACATATTTTCTGTTTCCAAGTCACAGTTGGTTATAACTTCAGAATTGAGAAGTTAAATAAGGATGATGCTTTAGAATGAAGGAAGCTAGGTTATTTCTCGTAATGAAAAGATGCATAAGGGAATTTAAAATTTTAAAAATCACAACACACAAGTTTTTAAGACAAATAAACAGTTGGGGGTGGGGTAGGATCTGGTTCAAGAACTAAGTACAGATATTAAATCCTGTTACTTCTGATTGCTTTCTCAGTTAAATTTGGTAATGAGCAACCATAGACTGGTTGAAAGACCAGTGTTCTGTAGAAAAAAACAGATTTTGAATCAGAGCTAAAACTTACCCAGCTTGATGTAAACAAATGGGGGAACTATAGGTTTGTATGCTCAAAGGATACATTTCTTTTACATGGCTGTACTGAATCAGAAGTATTGTTCCTTTTAAAAGGGGAAAATTGCAAATTAGTCTTTTCATGGACATCTGTAAGTTTGAAGCTATGTGAATAGATTTACAGTCTGATCTCAGTATTATGAAGGTAATAGAGTTCAGATGTTTTAAGCATCTGCATTTTTAACCTGTTTAAGAAGCTCATGTAATAGCACTAGTATAAGCCTTGTGAAAAATATTTATTCAAGAGTCTGCAGATGGTATAAGAATGGGACAGCTACAATTTACTAATGGTTTTATGGTTTTGACCCTTTTATGCTATTCACCACATTTTAAATTAATTTCTTTGTGCCTCATAAAACTTGAAAGCACCTTCTCAGCAAAAATCTGAATTAATTTAAGGAAAAGAAGCATGGATGGTTTTTCTATATTATAATGGAAATATTATATTTATTTGGAAAAAACAGATTTTCACAGTTTTATAAAGCCAGGAAGGGGTCTTCTGTGCTGGCATATCTTAATTATGCAAATATTTATCCAGAAATTTTCAGTAGGTTCTGATAGGCGACTTCAACAAAGCCCCTTATTTTTAGTCTTCATGTTTTCTAAAAAAGTATATAATGTGTCCTTGGATTGTTTTCAAGACCAGAGCCACAATGATAAGTACTACCTTATGTGGAAGAGGTGTAATTACAAAGTCAATTTTTAAAGAGGTACATTTTAAGAAGGTATTAATAACTTACACATCAAATAGTAAGTTTATAATTGTGCATACTTATATGTTATCATAAATATTACCGTGAATCTTTTCTTTAGCATAACTTTTGTAAAATGCAGTAGTAACAAGTATATAATTTGTCTTAATCTATATTTGTTTGGTGTAATATAAGATATCCACAACTGAAGAGATTTATAGCATTATTTATAAGTTAAGAGTAGGTAAAAAGTACTAAAACTTAATGTAAGGAAAAGTGACTTAATTTATATTTAGGATGCCCCAGCATAGAAGATAGTTACTTGCCTTTTAGGGATAACCTGTTAACCTTTTTCTTAGTGTAGAAACTTACCAAATTTCTGTTGTTATTTTAAATAATAATGCACTCTTCCCCATATCCACCATCCCAATATACCAGACATCTTAATATTCAATACATGGTTATTAAATGAATGAATGTTTTTTTATATCGTTTTATTAGGAGCTCATACAACTCTCACCACAATCCATACATACATCAATTGTGTAAAGCACATTTGTATATTCATTGCCCTCATCATTCTCAGAGCATTTGCTCTCCACCCAAGCCCCTGGCATCAGCTCCCCATTTTCCCCCTCCCTCCCTGCTCCCTCCTCCCTCATGAACCCTTGGTAATTTATGAATTAT